ATTGAAGAATATAGTCGATAAACAAATTAAAATCTCTGAAATTTTCTTATCGCGAAAATCATGAAGTCACGTCTTTTGCAATTACTTTTAATGCAGAGTGATGGTATATTATTTGACCGGAAAGAGAGGCAGCCACACAGAGCAACAATGTAAATAAATACACTAATACTAAAAGACCAAGAAACGAAAGTTTCTCAAAGGGGCAGTTTAGATTGGCAAGTTTGTCAGTTTCTTGTTAAGTATCTTTCACATTGGTTCTAATTCTTGTTTTGCTACCAGCATCTTAATTAATCTTTTTTTCTAATTAAATTACGAGTTTACTAACTCCCCACACTTTTGATTGGTTCTACTAACTATTCACATATCAGAATATTTTATGTTATTAATCAATATGGTACTTCGATAGTGAAGTGTGGGGGGAATTAGTAAAACCATTTAGAGGTTTAAACTACAACCAATTCGATACGCTGAACGGCCAGAAACTCTAAAAAAGGTAATCTATCTCGTAATTCAAAGACTACGACTTTACCACAGTGCGTTGGGCCTAAGCCGGAGGACAATTTCGAAGTCGCGTGCACAAGACTCACCACTACGCTCAATAACAGGTCGGAAGATATACAGTTTTATTTGAGTATAGCAGTATAGGGTAGTTCAGGGACACTTTGTAGAGGGCCAAAGTATCACTTATGCACAAGCTATCTTAAAATCAATCTGTTCTATTAACTAATTATATTAATCTACTCAAATATTCTAATTCATCCCATTTTTCCTGCAAATTAACCTTCTTTATTTTATCTTACTAATCCCACTATAGATCGTTGCATCAGATCGTGCAATGATCACGTGGTCATGTGCCGTCGTTAGCGTTGCATAAAGTATTTTGACTAGGGTGTCCAGAATTATGCGATGCGTCATATAATAAATTTGTACTCGAAATTGAATCATCTATCTATCAATCACATTTCACACATGTGATTTTTTCACAACAATCATGTTTTCAATTAGATCAAAGACTATTAAAAAAAATTTTTTTTAGTGGGTAATCATTTAATTGAAGTCCATATAATTTAAATTCGAAAACATTTATCGTATAAAGACCTCTATTTCATTCATGAGAATAAAAATTATCAAATGAATGCATTTACAATAATTGTGGAATTTATCTTTACATCATGCCTCTTTCTGTTTGTATAAATATAGCGGCATATAGTGTTTATTAAGTAATGATATATTAATAATTTGTTAAATCCAAAGCTATGAATTATAATTTAGACGTAGCATTGAAATATTAGCATAGCGATAGTAAATCAAACATTACGGGTATCGATCGACATGTAAAACTGTTACAGCAAAAAGCAATATTACAACGTATGTTGGATGTTACGCCCTGTTGTAAGTGGAAACGGAATCTAATTAAATTTATCAGGTTTACACATGGCAAACGTTATCCTAAAATACGTACTAGAATTCCAATTCTGTTTCTATTTACAACACATATCGATAATCGACACACATCAATGCGCGTCGAATATTATGCCACACGTCAAATATTACGGCAAAACGTTAATCTGCAGATCCATATCATTTTAGTATATTCCCTGACCGCAATTTGATTGGACAAATTGTCAAGTTATCGTTATCGAATCTTAAAGGTATGAATTTTTCGTTTCAGCATTTAAGCATGACGATTAGATCATACACGCTACCAACAAAACTAATCCATCGCTTTCTTCAATCGTCATCACAGCTC